GTAAAATTTATTCCCGAAAGGAGATTGCGGAAAATATTGATATTTTTTAAAATTATTTTGTGCTTTTCATTTTTGTTTGACAGGCACATCACCTACAGCTGCCAGTAACAATGGCGGAGTGACAATAGCACGAAAACAGTAGCATCAGGTGGTAGAGTGAAAAACTTGCAGTTGGAACAAAAACCTCCTCCTGCCAGGTTCGTTACTGTTCCAACTGAAAAATTACGGTGTCACTTGGTTTTGTTATGATTTAAGCATTTTGTTTTGTGTGCGATCTCTTTTATTTAACATTTTTTTTTTGTTTTGTATACTTTTTGTTCATGTCTTCTTGGAAAAGTTTGGAAACGAGGGCAAAAGTAAGCAAACGGCCTCTTTTTGTCTGTGGGTCCTGTTAGAAAAATATTTTGTATTTTTCATTTTTGCAGGAATTTTTTTAATTTTTTTTTATTTTGGAATATTCTCACTGATTACTACATTTCTTTCATTTTTTTTAACCTTAAATTATTCATTTTATTTTGTTAAATTATATGATTTTTTGTCTGTCGTATGATAAAAACATAAATGTTACGACAGCAGCATGAGCAACAAGAAAAGGTATTGTATTCCATCATATCCATTCATCCCACACAAACTTTGACATCCTTTTTTATTTTATTTTTATTTTTTCTGCTTTAGAAAAGTTTCAAATTGTCTTGAGGGTTTGTAGATTTGCAGCTGAGGATGGTGTTGTTGTCGTCCTTTTTTTGCAATCTTCTAGAAAAATTTAAATTGCATTGTTTTCCTTAAAGACATGAAAGTCAGGAAGTTTAGTTAAAAGAAAGTAACTTTAAAAATAAAGTATTCAATAGGGTAAATAAAATGCAGTTCTGCATACCATTACATCCATTGATAATACTACAATGCAAATACAGCCGTATTCTTAAGACAAGAATAGTTATACATGTAGTTAACATATAAAACCGAGTAATGAATTGGTGTCCGAGTAATGACACAAAAAAATTACATTTAAAATA